ATAGTCCACAACCATGTGGCAAACCTAGAGTGTATTATCCTGTTTACTTCCCATAGAAAGATACTCACCTCAGAAGGAAGAAGCATGTGTGACCCAGACAGGGCTTGTTCAGTCGGTAGAACTAAAACGTCCAGAGTTCAGTCCCCGGTAATGTTTGGTAAAGTTTTTGATCAAGAGAATTCGTGAATAAGACAAACTTTTCCGCGAGCAGAACCGTGTATCTGGCGCTTCTAGATTTCCAAACAAATAGTGCGAACACGCAACGGATGATTTAGAACTGATATGCAAATATACAATTTCGCGACTAGCATCCAGTCATATCCTCTGCATGTAGTTTCTAAAGAATTTTATGTACTCATGAAATGGAACTACTGAAGAAAAACCTGACTTGTAAATTAATCAGATAAAACAAATCCATCTCCATATAATTTACAATACAATTCTTAGCATTGACGATAAGAAAGATTCGTCACAAATGAATAATTTGGACCCAGAGTGCATACGGAATGGAAACGAAATTTTTCCAGTGCTTTCGATTACATTAAGAAAGTTACTAGACTTCACTGATAAATTTCAACGGAAAAACAGGTAGTATTTTGATTAATGTGAAATGCTGTGGTACCCCGATGTGATCATATCGCGGCTCACGACACATCGTTCTACTTGCGCGATCTACATGTGAGTTCTGACAGACCGATGTTATTGGCTCACTAACAGCCTGGTTTTAGTTACAACAAGTAACAACCGCAAATTAAAAAAACTAACAAAACAACTGTGACACATTTACCTTATTTCCACCCTGATCCACATAGCGCGCAGTGTTATTGAACACGCGGATCATCGGCATTAAGCCATTAGAAGTACCATTTGTCTAAAAAATTACATGAATTTCTTTGCTGGCATTTATTTATTATAATCAAAATACTCCCGCTATGTAGCTCCCGGTCGCCCTTATGCAATGTATACTAAGACCGATTCCACCGGCGCTTTTGGAAATAATAGCACATTCTTTGAGCGTGTCATAGATTCCTTCGATGCTGTCGCTTTTCATATTCACGAGGAAGCAACTGCTCAACTGAGGTCGCATTGTGCCGGCATTGAAAAGCGTTGGAGATGCATGCGTAAACCACTTTTCGGACATCAGATCGTAAGTCTGAAGTGTGATGGTGGGATTATTTGAAGGAAAAAATTTTATATACCTCAATGGCAGCATCGATGTCATCTTCATGTATTCCGACCGCAACGCGCATTATCATATGTTGTGGTCTTTCAGCTACTGTACATAAGAGCAACATGTAAACAGTATAAATACTTGTAATTCAGTATAAAATAAGTACCTTTTCCATTAATTTTGAGTAGGTACGATCTTTCCAAAGTCTTGAAGCCAAAATAATTATAATTAAAATCTCGGTCATACACTATGGCTGAGTTCAGTCTCTAAAAAAGTTTTCAGGATTAAATATCATGTAAGAAAACAAACTGCTGTCTAATTACGTCAGCATTATCTTGAACAATTTGATATATCTTCTCGGATATCATAGGGCACATCTTCTGCGTCTTGGGGTTGACGTAGTTCCGCAAGTCGTTTATAACTTCCGAGAACACTTTTTTAGTTTCCTTATGTAAATTACTGACGGCAATTCTAGCAGCCAGTATAGCATAGTCGGGATGCTTAGTCGTCATAGTAGCAGCAACTTCAGCGGCTAGGTTATCCAATTCAACAGTCGTAACACCAGTATATAAGCCACCAACGACTTTTTGTGCAACGAGAACCTAAATTTAAGATCACGTTATATCGTCGAAAGAGAATTAAAAAGGATACAATGGTTAAAATGGGAAGGTTCAATGAGAAAACTATTACACAGCAATTAACCCCATTGTTGCT